CCCCCCCCCCCCCCCCCCCCCCCCCCGGACCTTCTGCCAGCCTGCTGTACCCTGGCTCAACATGCTGCAGTCCCCAGCACATGTATAAACACTGCCCCTGGGAGCAATAAACTCTGCCATAAACTGCACTGGAGTTTATTGCTACATTCTAACTGCATGTGTAGAAGCACCCATGCTGACCAAGTAGTAAAATGTAGAGTCTACACAGTCCAAGCACATCTGTTCAAGGGAGGATTTAATGTGCATCTAGATGAGGGGTGGGCAAAATGTGGCCCAGGGACCCGATGTGGCCCGCCAGGCCATTCTATCTGGCCCGCAGGGCTCCTAAAAAATTTAGAAGAAAATAAATATTAAGCTGCCCTGAGCTGCAGCCCTCGATGGCTTGCTGAAACTCAGTAAGCGGCCCTCTGCCCAAAATAATTGCCCGCCCCTGATTTAGACCTAAGATTTGGGTAGCCCAACATAGGATAAGTGGGCTTCTTACTCTCCTCTTATGCTTTGGTGGGGGGAGGGTGGGATTTAAGGGGGCAGAACAAGTTAGAGCTTAAATGTTGTAGGTAGCACAAAAATGTCAGAGAGAAAAAATCTTTTTCTCTAGTATTACATTTATTTTATGTGTATTTGACAGCATCTGCTATAATCAGTTTTGTTGTGTTGTAATCAGTTTTTCTGTTACTGAGTCTTTTACAAAGTAACAAAATAGAGAAAACACATTTGAAAAATAGAAAAAACAAGGTTGCAAGAATCACAAAAAATAGCAGTGTGACTCAAGCACAGGCTACTACATAACATCGTCGATATATAAATGTGTGTGTACATATACATATGCATACAGATATATATACACACACACACACACACACATACATATTCTTCACTTTAGTTTGGCACTGTCCCTTTAATGGAGTTACTGGGAGTGAAATTTATCATAGAAAAAAAAAAGAGAGTAAAATAACCACTTTATTAAAAGCTTTATTTAATGTAGTAGTAGTTTTAAAGTGATGGTATAGCCGTGAGGATCCAGGAACTATATGAGAGGCAAGTTTATGCTACGGGTGATATCCTTTATTGAACCAACTGCATGAATCTGGATTAAAATACAACTAGATAAAGCTTATGTTGTTTATTTTTGTATTTCTATTGTTATATTGCCTGCTTAACATTACAAAAAAGTGTTTGATTTCAATGTATGTTTTTGGCTGAAGGAGATTTGGTCTTCAAATGGTTAAAAAAGGCAAGCAGGCTGTGAAAAAATATGTACACTTGATATATAAAACATGTTTTCATATAATGCTTTGAAATCAATGAACAGAAATTTAGGTCAGTGTAGTATACGGGGAGCATGTGGTGTATAGTGAATCACAGTCATGTGATGAGTCAGATTTGGCAGATGATGATGTATTCAAAGTACGGTATGTCCCAACACCACAGTACTTGTGGCCCCTTGAACATTTTGTGTCTATGAAATCTTCATATTTTTAGTAATATTTTGTTCTGTACCACTTGTTTGGAAAATACTGGTTTTTATCCTAACCAGGTTCATGTTTCTTTTGAAACGTTTTTTTTTTTTTTTCCCTGGAGAGAAAAGTAAACCATTTGGTCACCAAAATGTGTTTGCAGTTCTGGACTCAGTTCTTATTTCTGAGTTGCCCTTCATCAGAACATAGGTCATCTGCATTTCCCTGTCCCATGATTGATAAATTGTGATGTTGCCACACACACGAAAAATTCAGTTGTCTCTAGGAGCACTACATGGATTGCTCCTGAGGATGTACTCTACCTTCAAAAGGAGGCTGCATTTCTGTCAATTTCTTATTAGGGTGATGCTTCGGTCTTATCTTATATTCTGTACTACTAATGATGTTAATTATGAAAAAGAATAGGGCTGTAGTTATGAGAAATTAATGCCATATAATCTAATACAAGCTGGCAGAAAATCTATCCACATGAACACAGAGAAAAGAACATTTTATGTAAGAAGTAACTACACATAAATGTGACTATAATTAGAGAACACCAATTAAAATAGAATTCTCATTTTCTGATATGACTAAATTCTTTAGCTAGGAAACCTCTAATTATTAGGCAGTAGCATTAAGAAGCACATGTTCCTCATGGTGTTAGTGCCAAATAAAGTTTAAATGTCAGCTTTTTCTAACAAGCTAGTTTATATATTAGTGTCAGATTTAGAGACCCAAAAAAAAGAAGAATAAGAAATCAGTTGATACAATTACAAAGGAGCAATAAATATCCAGGAAAGCAATGTTTCTGTTGTGCTGTTTTGTCATTTTTATCATTCTGTCAAACTTCGGTTGTTGCTAGCTTATGGAAAAAGTACCACAAGTAAAAATGTCTGATATGTAAATATATGAAATCTTTAGGCCAATGAGCTACTCTCTCTTTGATAGAAAGGCAAATAGGCAAATTCATAGCATAATATGAAAAAGTTGCATTATCCATTGACAATGCCTTGTTTTATTTAGAGTATGAAGGATCTGGGACAGAAGTTCAGAGAAAACACTCAAAATGTGGAGTTTGCAAATATAGGGCTGAGTGTGATGAAGATGCAGAAAATGTTGGGTAAGTAAGTAAGCTTCCCCAAAAAGAAAAAGTGAAAAAGAAAAAAATTAACATGATCATAGGCCTGCAGGAATCTTCATTCTTAATATTCTTAATATTTGACATCCTCCAGGTGTTTGGTAGAATTGCATGTGAACAGGGATTTACATGTAAATGCTTAATTTTCACTTTTCTTTAAAGCCTTCTTAAGTGGTTTGTGCATCCCAATTGCAGAGATATGCTTTCAGATTGATTATGAGATGAGGGTAATTTCTTGGGTTATTAATAAGGCATAAACAGTGTATGAAGAAACCTCTATCAAATATCTTCCAGTCAAAATAGCTTTACTGAGATATCTACTCAGGTAAGAAGAAATAAGGAATGTGAAATTGCAAAGATGTTAATTATTTTCTCAGTTGAAACTTTTTAGCTGACAGTCCATAAAATATTTTGCATGGTTGCTTGATTAAAATAATAAAATAATACGTTGATCTGTTGATATGATACAGTAACTTTTTTCCTGGTTTGTTTTACATTTAGCACACACCTTTTGGAAAACTCTGATGAATAGAAAAAAAATCAGACAGCTGTCAGAAATCCAAAAAATGAGCAAGCAGTGAATATGTTTTAGATAATTTTAAGAAAATCCATAATGCACTAGCATATTTGCAAATGTAGTGTATCAAGCACTAACTGACAGTCACAGTGTATTCTTTTTTTATTTAACAATATCCTTTCACCACTGCCAGTTTGATAACATAGTCACATGGAGAATGGCACCTCAGCATGACTTTTGAGACATAACATTGTACATGTACAAAAAACAAAATCGTATATAATGAGAATGTAACCACTAGTATGATGCTTAACTTTTCATAAAATGTATTCACATAGAAATAATGGGTGCCTATACATGAGCCGGGAGGCTGCTCTGATGCTCTTTAATTACAGTGCATCAGAGCAGGCCTGATTAATCAAGTCTGCTGGAGCATGGTAATTACCTCATTCCAGCTAGCCGCCACGTCTTGTGTATCAGCATCACCGTGCTTGAAAATGGTGGTGGAGGCACTTTAACGAAAGGTCATTCGAAGAGCTTTAGATAAAGCACCCTTGCCCCCATTTTGAAGTGTGAAGATGCTGATACACAAGATGCTCTGGGCATTTTAATTAGAGCGGCTCTTGGAGGTGCTTTAATTAAAGTGCCTTTGACTCCCAGAGCACATGTAAAAATGCCCAATGTTGCTCCTTATTATTTGCCTGTTCCTCTACACTCAAATGAGCTGTGGCCAGTTTCTGAAATAAAAAGTCTTCAACATAACTAGTTGGTTTTAGTTACCTCTGGAGATATCTTTGTACGTTTGTTTTTGCACTGGTAAATTTTCTACAAGGTCTAACATTAGTGAAAGCATAAGTATTTGTTAGGTATTTGTGGAGTTGTGGTTCTTCCTGGTCTAAGTAAGCATAAGCTATTCTCCTCTTCTTCCTTGACTACTGCAGGGAGAACCCCTTTTCCCTGATTTTAATTACTGCAGGTACAAACACATACACAGGTTTCAGGAGGAAGCATTCAAAAATTAGGAAATGCCAGAATAAAAGTTGCGATCTCCTTATGCTGTCACTTAAGTAACCCAGATACCTTCAACACCCATTTTTTTGCTGTGCAGTCTTAGTTTGATCACAGTGAGGCTGCTCCGATCTGCTGTAATTCCAGCGTGTCTGCTGGGGATGGGTGCTATAAGGCCATGGTCCCCCACCTGCCTGACACTTTACTTGGATAAACCCTGGGGAAAATCGGATGATACTGTCACTGCCAACCTCAGATTTTCTTCTCACCTACCATGTCTTGATATATAGTCTTAACTCTTGGGAGTTGGATGGAGGCTGGGTAATGACTCGACCGGGTCTCCTTTGGGGGCTTTCTTTGTGGGGTTCCTCCTCCCCTTACGCCCCATCCTCACCACCTCCAGTTCCTCAATTAAGATTAGTGTGCTTGGAGTAGTCCTGGCTTCTGTCTCTGCCACCTCAGTCTCCTCCCAGCTGTTCTGGAGCAGTTCCTCCAGAATCTTTCTTCTACCAGTTGCAGTCTTTCTATGGCTGCCCCTCTCTGGTGCTAGAAGTACCCATCCTCGTGGTCCCTCTGCCAATCTGGAGGGAGCACATGCTGCAAAAGCGCGGCGCCACACTCCACGCTCCAGTGGGCTTGCCCCTGTACCTGTGATAAGTGCTTCCTGCTCACGGCTCGTGGGGCTTTTCTCCTGCCCCACTCTCTTCTCTTTACAGCATTGGAGCAGACTTGATTATTCAAGTCTGCTGGAGCGTGGCAATTACTGCGCTTAAGCAGCCTCCCATATCTCGTGTATCAGTGTCCCTGTGCTTCAAAATGGTGGTGGGGGCACTTTATCTAAAGCTTTTTCAATGAGTTTGAGACAAAGCACCCCCACCACCATTTTGTAGCTCGGGGACACTGATACACCAGATGATCCAGGTGCTTTAATTAGTTTAATTCAATTAATTTAGCTGGTGGAGGGGCCCTGGCAGTGCCACTACTTATGGCTGATTGGCTGGTAGGCAAAAACTGCAATTTTAAAAATGCTGCAGTTCTTGCTTCTAGATGCTGTTTGGCTGAGGAGTCCTGATGGTCCTGCTACTTGCTGCTGATCGGTTGGGAAGCAAAAACTGTGACATATTTAAAACTGCTTTTTTTTTTCTCCTGGCCAATCAGCAGCAAGTGGCGAGCAGCAGGGCCAGCAGGGCTCCTCTGCCAATCAGCAGTGGTGGGGAGGGGGGAACACGTGCCAAAAACAGCAAGATTAAAGGAGCCACTACTAAGTGCACTTCTGCTGTAATTTAGGTAGGTCCCTAATTATATAATAGTCTTTAGCTATGTGATCAGATGTATTTTTTCAAAAAGACCCTGTTTCATTCAGTAAATACAATGGGTACTGCTCAGTAAATGAGACAGCTATTCAATTCAATCTCATTATTCAGTGGATAGCCTCAAGCCATGTTTACTGCTTGCTGCCCAGACTCTGCATTAAATCTGGAATTATTCATTTCTTCATGGCTTTTTGAGAATGCTCATCTCCGTAGTATATGAGCCTTACAAGCATAAATGCATTTACCTTCACAACACCTCTGTGGTGCAAGATGGTGTGAATATTCCTGTAATATTACTATTATGGATGAGGTGACTTGCTCGACACTGTGCAGGGAACTTGGTTATAGATGGTGGGTCTATACTACAGGATGCAGTGCACTGTAAAGATATCCAAGCTACCTTTAAATTAGCTGGCTCAGATACCAGTGGTAGTCTGGCTGCAGCAGCATGTAGCCTAGTGCAAGACCACGATTCTGTGTGAAAAAATTACATGTGAAAACATTGCACATGAGCTAAAGTGCAAATAGTATGTGAAAAAATATGTGAAATAGTATGGTGAAAAATAGTGTGTCATCAGGACAGGCTATATGAAAATGCATATGCGCAAGGAAACAGAATTAAGATTCAACAAACATAAAGTTGGCACTTTTTAATTCTTGATTTTGTGATCTAAATTGTATTTTAGTTTTTTAAATATAATTTTCAAAGTTTAGGTTTTAAAAAGCAAAAAGATAACAAATTCTACTTTGTACAAGTGACTTACCTTCCAGAAAACAGTTTGATTATTTTAAATTTCTGTTCTCACTGAAGAAACTGAGCTGAGAGCCTTGAAGCTGCTCTTAGTTGAGTTTTTAAAACATTCCAGCTGTCTCTGTTCAGAATTTCAATATTTTCTTTTATTACTAAGTTCACACATCGTTTGAAGAATCCATGCTTTCAGTTTGTTTGATCATTCAGAAACAGTAGATAGTTAGAACATATGTGAGTGCATGGTAAATTAAATGCTAAAATATGAACAACTTTATCACTTCCACTGTCTCTGCAGAAATTTTTATTGTTGCTTTTAATTTTAACTGGACTGATTAAGAAAAAGAAGTGAAGTCTGAGCAGATGGTTGTCAGAAATTGCTTGGCACAAATGTTCAAATGAATGCAAGTTGGTACACTGTGTAATATGCCTGTATATACATGCAGCAAAAAATCACGTTGAATAATCTTTGGAAGGCTTTTATCGTTATATTTATTTAATGTATAACCAGTAATCATACTTTTTAGGATTGAAACCTAAATCTTGTTTCACTTTATATCATTTCCTATAGATTGTTACTGAGCATGCTCAGTATTTCTGTGTTGTGGCCAGGCAGATGTGTAGGGATATAGGATTGGCCAGGTACACATGAAAGGTCAGACAGACACCAGGGGCACCTATACATGTGACAGACCTGTGCTCTGACTTGTGCTAATTAGAATGAGAGCAGACTCAATTAATCGAGTCTGCTGCAAGTCTGCTGGAGTGTGCTAATTAGCATGCTTCAGCAGCCTCCATGTTACATGTATTCAGCATCCCTGCATTTCAAAATTGTGGCAGGGGCACTTTAACTAAGGCTTGTCAAATGAGCTTTAGTCAAAATGTCCCTGTCTCCATGTTAAAGCATGGAACTCTGACTACATGTGATGCTGTGGGCACTTTAATTAGAGTGGCTCTCAGAGCCTCTCTAATTAAAGCACTCCCACTCCACCCTGGTGCACGTATATAGACACCCCAAGCAGTAGCAGGTGTTAGATGTCAGAGAACATCTTTCCCCCTTTTAGACCACTCTCTAGCCCTTCTTTTGAACCCAGCACCCTGAAAATCTTATTTGTTCATTCAGTAAACACCAGTGAGAAATTTTCAGTCCGACTGGTATAAGGGGTCCAGACTAGAACCCAGGTTCTCCAACCTTCCAGGACAGCACTTAGCTTACAAGGCCACACATACTTGCTAACTTATACTGCTCTTCCCAGTCCCACATATAACCTTCTTGAAGCTCCCCAGTGGGCCAGATTTAGAGACCCAGGGCTTCTTTCCCACCCCACTATCCAACAGGTTGGGTTGACCCCATTGAGTGATTCTGTTCTGCCTCCGAGCCAGATAGAATTCCAAA